GTTTAGGGAGTTTAGGGTCCTAAACCCTAAACCCTAAACCCTAAGCCCTAAACCCTAAACCCTAAACCCTAAACCCTAAGCACTAAACCCTAAACCCTAAACCCTAAACCCTAAACCCTAAACCCTAAGCCCTGGCTTCGTGTGTTAGGATGGTGTGGGGCGTGGGGCTTAGAAGGGCTGTCTTCGGGTCTACCGGACCCCTCCGCATTGAAATTAGAAGGGCTCTTTGGGTACGCTCATATTCTATGATAGGGTTCTACCACGGTTCCATAATCATCTATGGCTTAGGGGGCTTTCGGTTCCAGGGGGGTTTAAAACCCTAAACCTCAGAACCCTAAACCCTAAACCCTAAACCCTAAACCGTTTAAGGTAAAACCCTGAATTCCGAAAGGCTTCGAGTGGGTCTTGAGCACAAGCCCTGAGATCCGCCTTGGCACCAGTCCACATCCCCGTCCTTGGGCTTAGGGTTTAGGGTTTAGGGTTTAGGGTTTAGGGTTTAGGGTTTAGGGTTTAGGGTTTAGGGCAGGGACATGGGGATTTAGGATGAGGCTGAGGTTTAGGGCTCAGGGCTGCTATGGCCTTCGACATGTCGTATAGATGTCGGAATACCCAGCGATCGTGTTGCCCTTATAGTCTCGGCAAAAGCTTCTGTATACTGGCAAACCGTATCTTGATTATTCGCGCACCTATATCATCCTTCCCCCCTACACCTCTGCTCAGAACAGTTAACAGGCCACCAACCCGAAACCTAAACCGCCTAATATCGAAGCCTAAATAGTTAGAATAGTGTTCGGGGGTTTGTTGTACGATAATTATAATAAGGAGCCNNAAAAAAAAAACTATTCTAATTATTCAGGTCCCTACATTAACCCCAACCTGGTCCCAAAATATGTTGCCATAGGGCCCCATCCACATCTTGCACTGAACCCATCAACGTCGGGCAACCGTCTTAAAGCTGAATCCCGGGTTTAGGGTTTAGGAAGATACTTCCAACCTCTCAACACGATTTACACCCTTGCTGTATAGAACCCCTTCTGAAATAAAAGACCACGTGAACAAACCTGAAAGGACTCTGATGGAACCCCTGACCCAGCCCTAAACCTCATACCCCGAAACCCAGACCCAGGTACAAGATCTCATCGTGGAGTGCCGCCAGTACCCTTTCTGTCTTTGTTTGCGGCCAGTGGGCGGGCACCTTGCTGGCTCTTCACCATTAGGATACGGATAAAGACGGCTTAGAAACCCTAAACCCTGAACCCTAAACTTACGGTTGAGGGAAGCGGCTTCTGCTACGAGGCCTATAAGGGTTCGCTTTAGCAGTCTGTGGTGGTTGGGTTGAGGGGAGGGTGGGGTCCTAGGGATAAGAAGTTTGAAAGGTTTACGGTTTAGGGTTCAGCGTTAAGGGTTTTAGGGGTTTGAAAGATATGGTTGCCGTGCTTGCGCAGAACTGACATGGCTTGGCAGCTTACTTGTTTGATATACGCAGAAGCCAGAAGAGAGAGCCCAAACCTTCCCAGAGACTCCCCTAAACCCTAAGGCCCCTCATGGGTAGTTTTCAATATTAGGATCTGTTTTTGGGTTCTTTTTATCAGGTTCGAAATTGATTGTCTCACTAGGCACAATTCAGCAACGAGAAACCGTCATACTCCGACTTTGTCGAGCCAGAAGAGCTGAGGGTATGTAAAGCTTATCAGGGTTTAGGGTTTAGGGTGTAGGGTTTAGGGTTTAGGGTTTATCGGTGTCGGTGTGGGGGCCCGTGTTTCTCTTCTGCATCAAGCTTGGGTTTCGTCCTGAAGCGGAGCCCGTCGCTGGAGAAGGCAGTTTCGAGTTTGGGGCTCAGGTTGGTCGGCTCAAGGACATGTCATGTCTGGCCAGGGAGCAGCCAGATGCGAACAGAACCCCAACCCTAAACCCGACACCCCCAAATCCTAATGGCGTACAGCATAAACTAAGCCCCTAAACCTGAAAACACCACAACCCCCGACTTGCGCATTAAGGGCCCAGAAACCCGAAGGAACAGGGAAAGAAGACAGGCGTTTTGGATAGGTAGATATATGTAAGAAAAACAGACAGACATGCTTAGAACGGCTTAGAACTTATATGCTGTGCTCTAAGACAGCAGCCTACACAGTAGAGCGACCGCACTTGTAGGAGAACTGTCGTCCTGCGAGAGACAACAGACAAATCCTGGTCGGGAATAGTGGTCACAGTTTACAATAAACCCGGCCAACCTACGGTTTAGGGTTCAGGGCGATCGTAAGTAGTAGTAGAAAGCTTTTCATCATGAACTACAGCTGGGTATTCTGGTTTGAATTTGAGTTCAGCCAACCATCATCAAGCAGTCTCAGCAGCTTTTCTGTCAGTGGCCTTGCTTCCAATAGGCGCATCGTCCCTGGCAGGGGCCCGATTTCTGACACTCCCACTTAGAAGTCCATATCTATAGACGCTCAATTTTGTTTCCGTCAATTACGATCCCTGTTTGGGTCCCCAAAGAGCACATAACTTTGGACCATAATTGTACCCCAAACTCAAAAGGGACCCAGCCCCTAAACCCTAAACTCTAAACCCCTAATGGACCATCTGAGAACCCCAAACTCAAAAGGGACCCCGCGTAGAAGACACCCGTTTGTCGTCCAGCTTTGCCTTTTGCGCCATCGGCTCACAGTGACTGGTGCTGCCGGGGGCATCACCTGGCTCGACATTTTACTAGCCCAAAGGGTCCAAAGTACCTATATAGTAGAATGTAGGGTTTCTATATTAGGAATTGTTACTATGATTTGGGAAACTATCCCCCGTAACAATACCTAGGACCCTTTGGGTAGGGCTCTCTGTCGTATCATGTTCACAGGGCTTGGAATGCAGGATACCCTACACCCTTATGCCAAAGCCTAAACCCTAAACCCGTAACAACCTAAACAGGGGGCATTCTGGTTTTCAGGGCTATGGACTTCGTCACAGCCTGTACTTAAATAGAGGCTCGAGTGAAATTGCAGGCGTATTGAAAGCACCTAGTGCCACCCAGAATGCTACCCCGGGGGGTACAATGCCAGTACTCGTATACCCTCCCAATACCAACCTACAACTGCTCCCTATCCCAAACTCCAATATCTACGTTTTCCGTACTTTGAAACCATATAGGACACTTACCCTAAACCCTAAACCCAGAGAGGCTAATTTCCTTACCGGCACAACCCGAGAACTACGACCCTTCGTGAAGATTATGCGTTCGAGGATGCTGAGCTTAAGGGAAACTCCTTGGGTGTTCTGCGCCTTCTGCAACGCTTTAAGGAATTGTGTGTGACGGTTTAGCACTAGGGACTTTATAAGGGTTTAGGGGTTAGGGTTTAGCTAGAGTTCAACTCCTCCCCCAAATTACTGCAAGCAGCGGCTTAGACTTTCTCGCTTGCATGTTCGTTCCGGCACTACGCGGCAAGCCCGAACGCTTGCTGCTTGTGACCATCACCTTTTGAGTTTAGAGGGCCCCGTTTAGAGAACCCCAGCTGGATCCAAATCCTAAACCCTACACCCTGAACCCTAGATCCTGCAAGACCTCACAAAACCACTAGAAATCCAACGTAGGTCTTGCAAACTGAACGCTACACGCCTTAAGCTTACCCAACTTCTCGTGCCGTGAGGGCTTGAGGTTCAAGGTTTGGGGCCTAAGGTGTAAGCTTCAGGGTTTCGGGTTTAGGGTTTAGGCTTCGGCTATGTCGGAAACCAGAAGCTCGAAACTGCGCTTTGGGAAGGAGTATAGACGTTTGTTTCATAATGGTTCTGTTGAAGGTCTCTCAAAGTATGGAACTCCAAAACCCAGGCAACAGCTGTAGTGATCAACTGGCTCGTGTGGAGTGGACCAGGAGCCATAAACCCCCGGACTGCGAGGCCCTTCACCAGCACACCCACCAAATCCCACATGTCTCAATGCACCCTGAACCCTACCCTAAACCCTAAACCCTAAACCTTAAACCCTAAACCCGAAGCCTTATAAACCCTAAATACCGTTGGATCTTGCAGCCTACATCTTGAAAACTTGGAGGCCCTGAACCCTGAACCCTCGATGTTCGACAGCCCTGTCTCTTTTGGGAGCATAGGTGGCCCGGCTAAGGTTTCGAGTTTAGGGTTTAGGGTTGAGGGTGAACTTAGGGTGCCCGCAGGATCCCGGTTTAGGGTTTAGGGTTTAGGGTTTAGGGATTGGAATTCGATAGCTTCGGGATGCCTTACTCCGCAGTGGTGGTACAGATGGAGCCTTCCATGCTGGTGCCTCCAATCGCACCCTATACACCCTAAACCATAGACCCTAAACTCTAATTCCTAAACCCCTAAGTTAAAAAAAAACCCTAAACCCCAAAACTTGTTCAGCCCAAACCCGAAGGAACGTTGGGGTTTACGGTTTAGGGTTGCCGGGCTTAGGGGTTTAAGGTTTGGGGCGTTAAGGGTTTGAGGATTGAGGCTTCTTCTTGCGACCCAGGCTGCGACTTTTCGGTATTGCATCCTTCAAAAGGCTACGTTGATGATACGTATCTGGCTGAGCCGAAAGTTGCAGCGATCGAAATCTCTCAATGGCTTCGGAATTGGAGTTTACATGGGGTTGTTTCAAGTTGGGGAAACCAACAAAAAAGTACATACTCAGGCCTGAAATGGGGTTCGTAGGAAGTAGATCAAGGCCCAAAATGTGCATGCAAATATATAAAAACTAGGTGTGTATATATATATATATATGAATATGTACATATATATATATATATATGTATGT